TTATGATACAATAGCTTAAGAGAGTAGGAAGGCCGGAAACCTGCTGCTGCTTCTGAAAACTGAAACTTCTTAAAAATTTCATAGATTCTGAGAACAAGAATCAGAAGTGCCAATGTTAGACACATTGCATTCCTTTGTGCACAAATTAGCAGAACTCTGTGATAGACTCACAAATGGATGTATACTATACAGAGGCTGAACAAATAGATGCATATTCTCAGCAACTGGATCTCTGTATAGTAATTATCTGATATATTGCCAGCTCACCATAGCTATGAATATAAGTGCTTTCTGTTAAAAATGTAAAGAATGTTAATTTTTTATTGTTAATCACCATACATTACATCATTAGTTTTTGATGTAGTGTTCCATGATTCATTGTTTGCGTATAACACCCAGGGCTCCATTCAGTACGTGCCCATCACCAGGCTAACCCATCCCCCCACCCCCCTCCCCTCGTAGAACCCTCAGTTTGTTTCTCAGAGTCCATAGTCTCTCATGGTTCCATCTCCCTCTCCAATTCCCCCCTTCATTTTTCCCTTCCTGCTATCTTCTTTTTTTTTCTTTTTTTTAACATGTATTATTTGTTTCAGAGGTACAGGTCTGTGATTCAACAGTCTTACACAATTCACAGTGCACACCATAGCACACACCCTCCCCAATGTCTATCACCCAGCCACCCCATCCCTTCCACCCCCCCACCACTCCAGCAACCCTCAGTTTGTTTCCTGAGATTAAGAATTCCTCATATCAGTGAGGAATTGATACATGTCTTTCTCTGATTGACTTATTTCGCTCAGCATTACACCCTCCAGTTCCACCCACGTCGTTGCAAATGGCAAGATTTCATTCCTTTTGATGGCTGCATAATATTCCATTGTATATATATACCACATCTTTATCCATTCATCTGCCGATGGACATCTTGGCTCTTTCCAGTTTGGCTATTGTGGACATTGCTGCTATAAACATCAGGGTGCACGTACCCCTTTGGGTCCCTACATTTGTATCTTTGGGGTAAATACCCAGTAGTGCAATTGCTGGATTGTATGGTAGCTCTATTTTCAACTTAAGAATGTTAATTTTAAAAATATATAAAAATCATTAATTAAAATGTAAGATCACCATCTAAAAACAAGTGTTTTCATTTTTCCATAATTCAGTAGTCCTCTCTTATCTGCGGGAGTTACATTCCAAGACTCCAAGTGGATGCCTGAAACTGTGGGTGGTACAAAACCCTATATATACTATGTTTTTCCTAAACGTACTTACATAATAAAGTTTAATTTATAAATTAGGCACAATAAGAGATTAGCAACAATATAACAATTACAACAATATACTGTAGGAAAAGTTATGTGGTATCTCTCTCAAAGTATCTTCTAGTACTGTACGCACCCTTCTTTTGATGATGTAAGATGATAAAATGCCTACATGATGAAATGAAGCACGGCGAATGACATAGGCATTGTGACCTAGCATTGGCTACTATTGACATTGTGACAACAGGCAGAAAGAGGATCATCTGCCTCCTGACTGTGGTAGGGAGGGTGTGGTAACTGAAACCACATAAAGCCAAACAGGGAGATAGGGGTGGAGGGCAAACTACTACTCACATATATGTACAATTTGACAAATAGAGTCATGTTTGATAATCTATTTCATCATTGGGTCATAAAAAGTATTTCATCTTTCTAGTCTTCATACTTTTATTTAATGAATGCTTATATTTGATATATAAATGAATTCATTTATTTGCTACAAATTTGTAGCAGAAATTTAAGAATGATACATCTATATTGTGTCTTTGGAAACAGTCAAGGGAAAACCATGATTTTCTACCAAGTGAATTTAGAAGGGATCTGGGGAGGGAGAGACTTACTAACATTCTTCAAATGAAAAGCTGAACAAGATCTAAGAAGCTAAGAGATGGAGCAGTCACAATGAAGGCTAAAAGAGCAGAGCTGAGGCATAATAGGAAAGGAGCAGTAGGTTCCAAAAGGAATTTTCTGTTTTAATGAATACTGTCGTGTAAAAAGTTTAAGGAGTTAATGAGGGTAACTCTTGAAACAATTTTTATAAATTGTTCTTTATAAATATACTTTGATCTAATAATATGTATAATCAAAAGCATACTGCCATTTTTCTTCTAGAATGTTTACTCAGACTAAATTTGAAGTATAGGCAGCTAAAGACAAGCACAGGAATCACATTTGTTATCTTAATTGCAGAAAACAGTTCCTGATTCTTGACTAGTTGTGCTCTGCAAAAAGTAAAAGAAAGAATAGTTCATGTAAACTTTTAGTCCTGAATAAATTGGACCTTTGACAGGAACCATTTATGTAACTATATATTAGAATAAAAGTATTCTAGACAATTACCTAATCCTCATCATTATAGACAGAACCAACAGCTTGAAGGTACTAATAGCTTAATTCTTAATTTCAGTACCAGAAATGCATCATAAATATAATTTTACTGACAAAATAGATAATTCATTATATACCTTAAGTATTAATGATAATTAAGATGATGATTGTGATGATAATAGTAACAACTCATTTCTATAGTACTTGATACTTTTCAAAGCTGCTCTGCTTAGGACAAATATTGACATATAGGCTAATGGAATAGGATAGATAGCCTAGAAATAAACCCACACCTATATGGTCAATTAATCTATGAAAAAGGCAACACATACAGTTGAGAAAAGACAGTCTTTTTAACAGATGATGTTGGGAAAACTGGACAGCTATATGCAAAAGAATGAAACTGGACCACTTTCTTATGACCATACACAAAAATAAAGTCAGAATGGATTAAAGACCTAAATGTGAGACCTGAAACCATAAACTCCTAGAAGAAAACATGGGGAGTATAATCTCTTGGACATCAGCCTCAGCAAAATATTTATGGATAGTGTTCTCAAGCAAGGGAAACAAAAGCAAAAATAAACTCTTGGGACTACATTGAAAGAAAAAAGTTTTGCACGGCAAAGGAAATCATCAACAAAACAAAATGGCATCCTAGTAAATGAGAGTAGATATTTGCAATTGATACATCTGATAAGGGGTTTATATCCAAAATATATAAAGAACTTAAATAACACCAAAAAAGAAAATATCAGATTAAAAAATAGGCAGAGGATCTGAATAGATATCTTCCCAAAGAAGACATACAGATGGCCAACAGACACATAAAAAGGTGCTCAACATCACTAACCATCAGGGAAATACAACTCAAAACCACAAAGAGATATCACCTTACACCAGTCAGAATGGCTAGTATCAAAAAGACAAGAAATAAGTGTTGACGAGGATGTGGAGAAAAGGGAATCCTTGTGCATTATTAGTGGGAATGTAAATTGGTGTAACCGCTGTGGAAGACATTATGGAAGTTCCTCAAAAAATTAGAAATACCATATAATCCAACAATTCTGAGTATTTACCCAAAGAAAATGAGAACAAAAATTCAAAAAGATACATGCACCCCTATGTTTATTGAAGCATTATTTATAATAGCTAAGGTATGGAAGCAACCTAAATGTCCGTTGATACATGAATGGATAAAGAAGAGGTAGTTTATATTCATACAATGAAATATTACTCAGCCATTAAAAAGAATGAGATCTTGACATTTGTGACAATATGGATGGACCTAGCGAGTATTATGCTATGTTAAATAAGTCAGAGAAAAACAAATACTATATGATTTCACTTATATGTGGAATCTAAAAAACAAATGAACAAAAAACCAGACTCTTAAACACAGAGAACAAAGTGGTGATTGTCAGAGGGGAGGTGGGTAGGGGGATAGGCTAAATAGATAATGGGGATTACAGATCTCCAGTTTTAAAATAGTCTCAGGATGAAAAGTACAGCATAAGGAATATAGTCAATATTGTAATAAGGTTGTATGATGACAGATGGTGATTATACTTATTGTGATGAGCACTAATGTATAAAATTGTCAAATCAATATGTTCTACACATGAAACTAATAGGACATTGTATGTCAAATATACATAATTTAAAGAAGATACTCGGCATAGGAATTATCTTGTATCCTCATACACAAATTAGTGCTGACCTTGAGGTTAGGTACCATCTTACATGACAGCCTGGATAATCATAACTTTTCCTCAGATAAAGGAATTTGGTATGTTTACACATAGAACTGTTGGAAGAATTAGCATTTCCAGACCTTTCCCCATTTCTGGGGTTATTGAAAAGAATACTGGGCTCAAGACATGTGAAAACTCTATAATACTGAGAGTCATTTTTCAGTTTGCCCACCTGTGATAATAGTAATGATAATGGCAAAGATAAAATGGAGCCAAATGATTTTAGGTTCCTAGGACAGGTGCCTGGTTCCTAATAGGTATTTAACAAATATTTATGGAATTTGATGCTGACTCAAAAGTTATAGTGGGAACATATATTAGGAAGGACTCCTTAGTGACAGAAATCCAGTATAAATGGACTTAAAAAGAAATTCATTGGTTCGGGTAACTGGGAGATTGACAGGATGATACTAACACTACTAATGGCTGGATCTCAAGCCTCCAGCAGTGTCAGCAAGACAGTGCCTCTCTACTGGCTCTGTGTTCAGATGACTTCCTTTTCAAGCAAGCTGTCTCTACACCATCTGTGATGGCCAGCAGGAGCTCCAGGCTATTACCTTCTGTGGACTTAGTTATAATTCACTAAATGATCATTCTAGCAGAAGTCCTGGTGAGGGGTCTCACTGATCAGGTCTGACTCATCTTTTGAACTGGGGTCAGGGGTGGGGGGTGAACCCTGCCTAACCCACATGGATAATTCCCCAGAGAAGAGATATTCTTTTACCAGAAGAAATAATGGACAAGTGACAAATGTCTAGGATAGAGAAACTTTTTTAAACTATCATGAATGAGGACTACATAGTGGGAATGGATGAGATTTGGGAGTCGGGAAAATCATAGTTTGGAATGTAACATTCATTCTCCTGTATATTTATAGATACCGAGACTACCGTGACCCTCCTCATTCACTGGTGCCCTATGGCTACACACTGCAGTTTTGGCATGTTCTAGCAGCTCGATTGGCTTTTATCATTGTGTTTGAGGTAAGTTCTCTTAACCAATTCCTTTGCCATAATTAAGTAACTAAGAATAATACATAAATGTAAGTGTGAGAACTTTCAATATGACTATGTCCAGAAGTATTACAGTGATATTATACAGCCTCTTTTTAAAATCTTTTTCTTCCCCTTGAGTTGTCCAATTGAACTCCATTGTTGAATGTTAATGGATAAGTCAGAAATCATCAGTCCTAATGTTCTAGGGCTATTGTTCTTCAACTTTAAGAAAATTGCAGTTTTCATCACTACTCCTAGAGACTCAGATACATCATGTCTGTAATTTGCTTTTCACAAGCCCTCTAAGATGATTCTTTCTGATGTAGGTGTTCAAGGACTATAGTTTGGAAAACACCAAACTGGCTATTGTACAAGTGGTAGCCTCTGGTTATGTGTCATCATGACATTACTCATACTCAAGACACAAATAAGTATTATCTTAGACTCAAAATTGACTTTTAATCTACCTAGCAATTACCTATGTTATATGTCAGTAAAAATACATCATCTATTTTCTTTTAGTCTTTAAGAAAATTGCTACTAGAAATCATTTGAATTTCTAGGACTGTACTTATAAATGGAAATTTCATCTCCTGTCACATATATTAAAGCCAGATTAATGCAAACCAGGACTGCTTCTTGGCTTGGACAAGACATTTCCGATACCTCTTCCTCCATCGTTTTTTCCTTCATTCCATGTAATCAAGAGAAGACAAGCTGTTCTTCCCTGGGAATTCACTTGTTTAATACTTTAGAATAATGAGCGCCTTTAAATTATCATCTGGTACTTTCCTGGTTATCATCATATAGACAAACAGAAATGACAGTGTTTCTAGAGTTTCAGCTGTTAATAAGTCAGGTAAAGAATTTGTGGCAGTTTACCATAAAAAAAGTTTCTTCCTGAAATGATCACTTCCTTTAGGCCTCCTGATCATTCTTGCAACAAAAATTTGCAAAGCAAATTTAGCAATCTGCAAAGCATTTTGAAACATTTTCTTATAATTTTCACAATAATGTCCAATTTATACATAAGCAAATTGAAGCTCAGAGTGACTTATTCCCAGGTAAGCAGACAGCTCTTCAGTAGTAAAAACTACAGAACCAGGATTCAACCCTGGGTTTCCTGACTCCATGGTATAGGTACTTCTGGCTCACCTTTGCATTTTCTGAACACTCCTTCTCCACATTCTTTCCTGATTCCTTTTCTCATTCCCTGTGAAGTGTCATCAGGCCAAGTTCAGTCCTCACCTATCCGTGATTTATCCTCACATACCTCCCCTGGCCTCCTTCCACTTTCCAGACACTTGAGAGGCTCCATATCCCTGGAGTGAGAGGAGTTCTTGCACCAAGTTCCAGAGCTCTTTCCAGCTGAGGGTGGGCAATAGACCTAACTTGTTGTATTCATTCTCCTTTATGTTTTTAGCATCTCGTGTTTTGTATAAAGCACCTCATTTCATATCTGATCCCAGACCTCCCAAAAGATCTAAGGGATCGAATGAGAAGAGAGAAGTACTTGATTCAGGAGATGATGTATGAAGCAGAGCTGGAGCGTCTCCAGAAGGAACGAAAGGAGAGGAAGAAAAATGGAAAAGCACACCACAATGAGTGGCCGTGACCAGGTAGGTGAGAGGTGTGCTCATGGTCTAAAACCTCTCCTTGGGTTGAAGGGTACGCTTTAAACTCCCTGAATCAAAGCTTGTCATTGTCCTACTGATAGAAATCAAACTCCTTAGAAGCTTCCCAAACCAGCTTATTTCTTAATTGCACAATTGAACTTTATTTTCCCTTTGCATATAATTTCTGCAACTCTTCTCTACCTCCATGCCACTCTTGGCCTGGCAGTCAAGGTCTTTAGGAGTTGGCCTCGGTGTTCCTTCCTCTCTCCCTTCTACTCCAGTCTGGCAATTCTCTTTAAACAGAAAGAAGAATCATGTTGCCTTGGGGATATTAAAGTCACCTTTTTATATCACCCAAGATTGCCTTCCCTTCATCACCCATTTATTGTTCCCTCCCAGGCTGGTGCATGTCACACCATACCCTCTAAGAAGTTTTCCCCAGACTCATCAGCCCACTGAGACTCATTTCTTATAAACTCCTCTGGTTATTCCATCAGTGCTACATGTACTGACATATATATGGATCTGTATTGTTAATTTATGATTTTCAAATAGTTGGGTGCCTGGGTGGCTCAGTTGGTTGAATGACTGCCTTCAGCTCAGGTCATGGTCCCAGGGTCCTGGGATCGAGTCCCACATCGGGCTCCCCCTGCTCTGTGGGGAGCTTGCTTCTCCCTCTCCCTCTGCTGCTCTCCCTGCTTGTGCACTCTCTCTCTTTGTCAAATAAATAAATAAAATCTTTAAAAAAAAATAGTTATCAGGCTTCCCCAGCACAATTGTAAGCATCTTCAGGAAAGTCTTTATGGATGGTAATTTTATTCTTCCAACTAGTTAGCATAGTGTTAAGTACATGGCACCCATTAAATGCAATTCAGTTAATAAAAGTTAGGTGGATTAAGGCTAAAATATTGTAGGAAAGTTTCATAATGTTCCCACATATCTTATGAGAAAGTTTTTCAGAAATCTTCTCTCTGGCAAGTCTGTTTGCTGTGTGTCCTTGGGCAAGTCAGTTAACCTCTAGGCCTCCATTGCTTCAGTGATAAAATAATTAGATGAGCTCTCCATTTTGGTGCTCTGTGAATCTAATATTATAGCATTTCTTTTGCCTTCCTCACCCTTCATTTCTCTTTCTCCACTTAATTGAAGACTAACTTTGAAAACATTGTTCAAAATTTGGCCTCCAAAAGAAAAATGAGATATACAGGGGAAAAAAGTTATGTTTTTCACTTTTTGTATTGGTTAAGATGTAGCAGATATCTTCCGAGGTGTTTGTTAAGTTAGTGAATTAGTGTCACCCCAGATCTGTGTTAAGAGTCCAGGAGGCTATTACGAGTTGGATATGAGGGTAGACTGGGAGGAAATCACCCAGACCCCAGACCCACAGGGATAATGGAGGTATATAGATATTGAACAATGCCCCAACCCTCAATTCCAAAGTAGGCCTTGGTTTCACTAAAGCCAAGACATTTTTTGCAATATAATAATTTTGCCATTTCCCAGATATGCCATTTGGCTCTGTGATTTGGGGAAAATTGCTTAATTTTTCTGAGCCTGCTTGTTTGGCAGAACTAATATGCAGCTCAAATAAGGCAAGACACATATGAAACAATAAAGTGCTATAGAATACTGTAGGGGAGGGGGAAGAGCAAGATGGTGGAGGAGTAGGAGACCTAAATTTCATCTGGTCCCAGGAATTCAGCTAGATAGGGATCAAACCATTCTGAACACCTACAGACTCAACAGGAAATTGAAGAAAAGAATAGCAACTCTGAACAGAAAAGCGACCACTTTCTGGAAGGTAGGACGTACGGAGAAGTGAATCCGAGGCAATATTCAGGAGGATAGATGGCGAGGGAGGGTGCCTCCCTCAGCCACTACCGGCAAGTGATAGAGCAGCAGAGCACAAAATCGGAAATTTTAGAAGTCAGCTCCACTGAGGGACGTCACTCCAGTGGCTAAGTGGGGGATGGAACCCTTGTTGGGACAGTGTGGTCTCAGGACCCTCAGGGTCACAGAAAGACCAGGGGTGCCTGAGTGCAACAGAGCTCCTGGGTATTGGAGCAGGGAAGCCAGCTGCAGAGAGGGAGCCGAGGAGTGGGCTCTCAGCTCGGGGTTGCCATAAACCATGATCTGCGGCACAGTTGGGCCACTGCTCTTCCAGCAGGGACCCAACAAGCAGCAGATCCAGGGAGACTCCCATTCCTCCCCCAGGAGGAGTGGCGCGGGAGCACACCGCAGGGATCTGCTGGGTTTGAAGACTCCACACAGGGTCAGATGTCAGAGATAGAAATGCGCGGTCACAGGCCAGGTGAGCACGAAGTGCGGCCAGAGACCACGGAGTTGGGAGTGAGTGACTGCTTTTCTCTGAGGGTGCACTGAGGAGTGGGGCCCCGAGTTCTCGGCTCCTCCAGGGCAGAGATTGGGAGGCCGCCATTTTTACTCTCGTCCTCCAAAGCTGTATGGAAAGCTTGCAGGGAACAAAAGCTCCCGAGAGCAAACCCGAGCAGATTACTTAGCTGGCCCCTGGCAAGGGCGGGGCAATTCTGCCTCCAGCAAAGACATTTGGGAACCACGGCAACAGGCCCCTCCCCAGAAGATCAGCAAGAACAGCCAACCAAGACCAAGTTTACCGATCAATGAGAACGGCAGAACTCCAGAACTAGAGGAGTACATCACATAGAATTCATGGCTTTTTCCCCATGATTCTTTAGTCTTTCAAAGTTAATTTTTTTAATTTTTTTTTTTAATTTTTCTTTTTCCCTTTTTCAGCCAACATCTTATCAATCCTTTTTAGTATATGTGCTGCTGAAGCAAGCACCTTATCAACACTTTTTAAAAATCCTTTTTATTTTTCATTTTTAGAGTCATATTCTATCCCTTCATGTAGTTAACCTTATTTTTTGTATTTATATAAGTTCTCTCTTTAAAATTTTGGGATACCGTTTCTTCTAACAGACCAAAATATACCATAAATCTCTAGTGTATGGCTTTGTTCTAGTCTCCTGCTTGATCACATTCTCTCCCCCCCTTTTTTAAATCCTCTTCTTTCGTTTTTCAACCAACTTCTTATCAATTCCTTTTATAAAATCTTTTATACTTTTCATCTTTACAGTCATATTCCATCCCTTCATCATATTTACCCTTATTTTTGTACATATATAAGCTTTTCTTTCTTTAAAATTTTGGGAGGCACTTTCTTCAACAGACCAATATACACCCAAAATCTGTGTGGCACTGATCTATTCACCAGCCTGATCATATTTCATCATATTCTGTTTTTTTGTTTTGTTTTGTTTTGATCTTTTTCTTTTTCTTTTTTCATTCTTTCCCTTTCTTTTCCCGGTTTCAGGTCTTTTCTGAATTGTTTATGTATATTTTCCTAGGGTCATTGTTACCCTGTTAGCATTTTGTTCTCTCATTCATCTATTCTATTCTGGACATAAAGGCCAAAACAGAAAAAATCACTTCAAAAAAAAAAAAAAAAACAACCGATAGTACAGACTGCCAGG